ACAGGAGCAACTGTAGCCTTGTAAAAAAAGAATAGATTACTAAAGTCAGCATACACTGTTTATTCAAATTAATTAGTCATTCCAATTTATGTCTTGTGGATTTCATCGAAGGGCCCTCATGTGGAAAAAAAAAGCTTTCAGATGGGACAAGCACAGGTTTTGTGAAAGTCGTTATCAAACGGGAAGCACATTTCAAATAAAGCGAGGCGTGCTTTGACCCAGGGGGATAAGTCAGGTTTCATAAAGCGACAGTCGTGATTCAGAGTAAAATAAGAGCTTTTCTCTGTCAGAGCTCATAGCCCAGATCCTCCAGCGGCATTTCTCTCCCCTCGTCTCCACACGGCTGCTGCTGCTGCTGCTAGAGTCTTCAGAAGCGATGACAGGGCTGCTGACACTCGTGCGCTCACTGCCAGCCGCAAACAGCCTCGGCTCTGTTAGATGCCCCCGCAGAGTATTTAGGATTCAGGACGCTGTCTTCTTTTGGCAGTTGACCTGGTGTCACTGGCTCACCTCAGCTCGGCTTTTCTTTATTGCCCAGGTCAGCAGCAGGCAGATGAATCAGTGCATTTAGAGGCAGTATAAGGTGAGGAGATGTGAGTGAGGCTCCGCTTTCATGTTGTCATGCTGTATGATTCCTGTCTCCAATGCTAACACACTTTAAAGGCCGGCTGTGTACTTAAAATGTATTAGTCATGCTTGTAACTCGGTTAATCTCATCTCATCTCATCACTCCATCACAGGACAGCAGAGAGATAAACAAGCATGCACGTTCACGAAATTGGGGACAATTTAGAGAGACCAATTGACCTTACACACGTGCAGGTCCCATCTCAGATTTGATCAGTTTCTCTATCAAACCAGAGCCTCACAAACAGAAGAGGGGTTCTTCCTTTAGGTCTACTTCCATGTTGGAGCTTGCTCTCTCCCAACTCATGATCAAAGAAAACAGAAATAGGGGCTAAGCTCTGCTTCATTATGGGTGAACTGACCTTCAGATGTCCATCTAGACGTCATTGGTTTGCATGATTTGTGGAGGCTGACCTGTAAAGTCACCTTTCTAACAAATCTCATGCATGTTTAAAATGACACCTGGAGATGAATGCATTGATCAATGAGATGTCGACTTTCTGTGTAAACTGAGAACCAGACATCTGTTCAGTCGCACTACACTGCCACACATTAGTCCAACATAATTTAAAGCAATTTCATGAGATTTATATCTGTGCGGACTGTTAGAATAAGAACTGTCTCATTTTACTAATGTGCCTTTTAGAAGCAACAGAAATCGGTACTGTACTGACCAAATCAACACTTTTTCAACCAGGTGATGGGCACTTTCTAAGGAGGCATCTCTGTGAAACCTTCCCAGAGTTGAAATCAGTCAGTTGTTGCCTCCCAAAATCCATACCAAGAAAGCACTGACGACAGAGAGGAAATTTCATGTAGGTTTAACTGTAAGTGACAGGCTGCTGGCTCTTCAAAACAAACTTGGAGACATACAAAGCCATGTTACCTTCTTGATAAGCCGTAATTAAATACAAAATGCAAAAGGTTTATTAAACGAGCATCATGCTGGGGTAATAAGTTTTGAAACAGATGATTTTAGTTTACGACACCTTCACTGGGTTCCCACAAGAAGCTATTACCCCATTTAATAAATGTTACTTCATTTTTTTTGCACCAATACCACCTTGTTGGTTTTGATCAATTTAAGGGGAAAATAGCAACAGAAAATGAGTTGGTAGATAAAAATCATTCTCATATAAAAACAGACCTAATTATTCTTTGCTGTATCTTCAATCAAACACCTGCAGAGGATTTATTCTAAGCTTTCATTACTCTGCGCATTTTTTAAATATGAAAAACAGGCAGCTCTGGAAATTAATTAGCTGTCAAACACACAGAAGATATAGCTTTCTTTTTAACTAATAGTAAAAAGTATGCAGGCAGCATGTGCTGTCATAGTATTGACTGTTTCTTCCTTGTTTGAAACCATTTGGATTGAGCTCACACAGCACTGCAGCTGTGTTTGGGGTTACCCTGTGGAAGTTCAGAGATCAGGCCTTCATGTTTAACCAGAGTGGAGAAATTCATACGTTTATTGTCCATTTTCCTCTGTGAAAATATCTCCCAATTCAGACTTCATATGGAAGTCCCCTATTAATGTTTCTTTTTTAACTCCTTCGTTTGACCTCATCTACTGTTTGAATTATGTTAAACCAGTGTGACTTTGATCTGCAGCTATAAAGCCTCAGCGGATGAGGCTTCTCTTCACCAAACATCTGCACACAGCTGGATCTTGAACACACTATTTTTTTGTGACTATTAGAAAAAGTCTATGGATGTATCTAAGTTGGTGGTTTTCCATGAGACACACTAAAAGAGCTGAGTTGAATAAGTACTATTATGAAAAAGGGGCAGCTAGTTAAAGGCTTCTCTAACTATAGGTGTGTGTGTGTGTGTGTGTTACAGCAGTGCCGTTGAATCATAGTGAGTCACAAGGTTTGAGCAACAGCCTTTCCAACTGCACAAACATGGCCGAATCTTTCTTTGACTGCAGCTGTGAGTCATGTTGAGAGAATCCCTCATCTAAACATTGGGCTGATATAATGGACAGTATGCAAGCGTGTGTGTGTGTGTGTGTGTGTGTGTGTGTGTGTGTGTGTACATATGTGGGAGTAATCAGCTCTCTTTTCTTCCTTTTGGTTAGAAAAGTTTGTTTCATACCAACCAAAAAAGCAATGTATAGACCACTGGTAAACTGAAGGGTTACATCAGTCATTGTAATTTCTTGGACATTTAGTTCATTTCGGTGGCATTTAGACTTTCTGGAATCTGGTGAATTTTGTGATCCAGTGAGCAGCCTCGACAGCTCTGAGCAGAGCCACATAATCAAAGATGTGTGGTCGGTGGTTGGTGTTTTACATCCTGTTTTTAATCCCGAATTATGGCACACCCACTTTAATCATCACAGCTTGCACTCCAACAACTTCAGCTTCTACTCCAGAGTCAACTTCAGGCTCTGAATAAATGAAGTGGAAAAAGAGATGTGAAGAGATGTTTCATCTAAAATGCATGAATATGATTTTCTTTTTCTTTTTTACAGAAGCTTTAAGAAAATACACTATTTTCAATAGGTTGAAATAGAAACTTTACAACTAAAGCTAACAATTGTTGTCTCTTTCTCTACAGTGTTAGACAACATGTTTAATAAAACATTTGAGGAACTAATCTTTCAGATTCCAGGGAACGATTAAATGAGTTGAAAGCAAAATGCAAGAAAAGTTAGCAATTTAAGCAGAGGACTTATTGGAAGCTACTCTAAGTGAACCCGACTCCAGGGACCAGCTGTTCCTAACTTCCAGAGGTGGCATCTTCCAGAATGCCGAAAGCATAAAGCAAAATTTAAATTATTCCTGATTGTAAAAATACAACTTATTGAAATGGCTGTAATATAAGAGGCTTAAACAATATGAATAAGTCTAACCGAGACACTGAGAATGACCCGAACAATAGCTATGGTGTGAACCAGTTGACTCCTTCAGCCCTCTCTCTGTTTCCTATGAATCACACCCATGCCGTCGCACCCTAATGAAGCAAGACGCTAAATCAGCCCACACTGTTATATTTTTAAAGCTAATTTTTCAAGCTGATTAAGTAATCCATACCCCCAACCCATCTGGGTGTGCTTGCTACTGAGTGTTGCTTTGGCACAGTGAACACTACTTAACCTCGTAAAGGCTTTTTCATTCTTTTTTAGAGTTGATTTTCAGTAATGATGTCTTTTTAAAGAATTTTTTAAGGTAGATCCCTAATGACATTTTAGCCACAAGCTTCTTTGACGTGAGGATGCATGCTGCACTGTACGGCATGATATGAACATTGACTTCATCAGCGCCACTAAGAGCCATAATGTCTGTTTGGCTCTTCTACAGTGGTGTCAGAATGCATTACCTTTAACAGTACCATGTCATACCACAAAATTACAACCATTTTAAAGCCATTCGTTAAAGCATGTCATCTGCTGTAAAGTCGGGGTTTTCATGTTGTTTTTCTTCCCCGTCCTCTTCAGGTTCCAGACATGCATTGGGTTTCTCTGTAACTTGACAGGCAGCATGCACACAACACAACATTATAACAAAAATAATGAGCACACAGTCCTTCCTTTGCAGAGACTAAATTATTGCAAAAATACTAATTGACATTAAGGTCACAAGAGCCTAAGCTGCTGACCCAGAAGTGAATTCAATATCCTTCTGTTTCTAAATAAACCCAAATAAAGCATTGTGAATGTTACTCTGCTCTAATAAAATCCTGATTTTATGTTTAATCAAGCAGTTGAGTCAGTCTGTTACCTTGATTCAATTTATTTGTGATTGTAAACCGTGCTGACTGACAGATTAAATGAGTAGGCCTATTTTGCTAAGTGTGATGTTCTGTTGGGAAAACCTGCATGCTGGCATTCACATGGGTGTTACTTTGACACGTTTGCCATCTGCTCAAAATACATTTGCAGGCCTTCAATCTGCGGTCCTGCACACACGGCAGCAGCTCTCCCCTTTGGTGGCAGCATCCACAGAAACTGATGACAAAGTTCTCAAAGAGTTCAAGGTTTTCACTGGGCTTCCAGACTCCTCAAATCCAGTCCCAGTTTGATGGGATCAGCACAAAGCAACAATCTTTTGTTATTGTTTTAGGGCCAGACACTAAAGAACTTCCAGAGATATTCAGGACAAGAAGCTGCAGAAAAACAAAGACCACACATTTAATATGGAGATAATTGCAAATTCCATGGCTGGGATATGGACCAAGTACCCTCTTGAGGTGAGACAATAGTCTTCCAAATGCGTGCAGATGTCTTTTCATTCTCTTAGACGTCGACTCTGCAAAGAAAGAAGGCAGCATCAATCATCTGAAACTTAAGATCACAGTATCCATAATTCGAGTGTCTCTAACCTAAACACACGCACACACACACACTTCGCCTCCTCTTACGATCCCTGCCTCTCCTCAGCAATCTGTCTCATGAAGTCACTGCCCAGCAGCCACTCAGTGAGCTGTGCGAGATCCACACAGTTCAGGAGACTCCTCAGCCCGGTCCGCTCAGGGGTGACAGCTGCAGCAGCCTGCTCATATGGAAGTACCAGCAGCAACCCCCGACAACATGCACTCATGAACGCTTCAGCACGCCGTCATTTGCGCAGGGTGGGAAAGTCAGGAAGCTCACTTTCCTTCCACCGTTGAGAAATAACCGTGCGTTAGAGAGGATCGCCGTTTCTATTCCTCAGTTTTTGTCAACCTTTTTTTTTTTTTTTTTTTACCCCTTCCGTCTCTGGCTGCCCATTGCTCAATCCTTTCCCCCTTTTCTTTTCTTTTTTTTCTTTTTTCACTTTTTCCCTCTGCTCAACCCCAAAAGCGCTGCTGTTTTTTTAGAGTCTACCTGCTCGCCCAGCACTCATGAATTCGGATAAAAATGTGTACCTCGGTAGAGACAAAGGCATCATGCGGAAGAGAGCCCTGCTCCTCAGGAAGGGTTGCAGCTTCGAGATAACCAGGTAGGTCATCCTTTTTTTGATCGCCCTCTGGCTGGGACAGGAGGGCGAGCAAAATGGCTCGACTATCCCACAGAAGCAGAATTCCCCAGACAGGCTATAGAAGTGATACTTTTCACGGGTGCCCCACTGTTAGTTTAAACGAGTCGTTCCCTTTGTGTGGTGTGGTGATGCTATATGGTCAGATTTGACCGTATGTGCGCGCGTAGATTGGGAGAAGAGGGCTGTCCCACTCGCTTTGTGTCTAAAATGTACGCGGTGGTGGTGGTGGTGGGACTGCCTTGGATTAGCTCAATCATGACTGGGACTCATCACGCCCCCGTGTCGTCTGTTTTTACATCATTTCTCATAATTTCTAATAACAAAATATCTCAGAACCGTGCAGGGAAATTGGTGATCGGACCGTGGAGGGATGCGTTTACGCACGGGCACATTTCGTCTGCACCTGACTCCGCAGTACTGACAGAGCAGCTTAGTGGAGGTTCTCCGTCATTTCAAAGCAAAAAATAATCAGCAGCTGATGGGGAACACAAACAAACACTTAATCTCTGTCAGCCATAGAAGGAGAGGACTCTAATAACAGAAAACGGTGACAGTGGACCCATCTGACGTACATATCCCTCTATGTATTTGGGTTCTCCGGCTTCCTCTATAACGTCCACACGCCTCTAAATTGACCCTGGGAATGAATGTGTGCGCGTGCACGGTCGCTCGTTTGCCTGTGTGGTGCCCTGTGATGGATTGTCGACCTGTCCAGGATGTGCTCTGCTTGGAATCCGAAAGTGGATTATGGGAGGATGGAAAACGAATGGGTTGAGATCACAAGATGTATTGAGATCACCAGAGGCACAGCTGGGCAGCTGTGAGCTCAAACACATCGTGGGGAGACAGACACAAGGTAGGGGGGGTCATGGTGACAAATGGACCGCATAATGTGCTGCTGGTATGCCTTGCTGCTTGGACGGACTGGTTTTCCCAGATATGCAGCCTCCCGAGGGCCCTCCCAGCAGACAGAATAACCTGCTCCCTCTCTGTAAGAGCTCTAAATCATCCATCTCTTGTGGTTCGGCTTGTTTACATGTAGATTCCCACTCATCCTCTTAAGGCACAGGCATGTGGACCTGCTGTCAGCTGTTTTATACGCTTTTTACTTGAGAGTAATCTTTCTTTCTGTTAAATAGTGGACTCGAAACAGTCCAAATGGCCTCATAGCCCTTTTAAATTGATTGATTGACAGAAAATGCTTCTTTAAGGTCATTGTTGATGTCTGTCCTCCAGGAAACTGAACAAACTTCTGATCTAATGGAGGCTCTCACACCTGCTGATGATCAGGTGAAATCCATTTGCAGCACCCGGGTGCCACTTAGCTTCTTAATTCCTGTGGAAGTAGTAAAAACCACTTTGGTTTTGCAGATACAGCCACTGCATTTAGTTTAACCTTTATTAAATAGATAGTGACACAATGAATTACGGAGTATGCTTTTTCAGTTACAATTATTATTTTTGTTTGAATGGCAGATGCTTTTTGAATTACAGATGAGAAATTCAGCAGTAAATGAAAAAATTAGCATATGCAGCATATACCTGGGTGAGACTATTTTACTAAACTATAACCCAAACCGTCTATTTGTGTCATGTGGGATTGTTTTTCCCTCTGCTTTAAACCTCCAACATGTTAAGTTTACTTCAATATAAGACTCATGAGAAAAATCTCACCTTTGAACCTGAAAAGCATAAAAGGTTTGTGTCTTTTATCAGAAAGCGAATTGCTGATTTGTTTTCTTCCGACAATTTCTGCAATTTTCATCATTTTTTTATTGTTGTTCATAGAAAATCGTTCCAATCAAAGCATCTCCCCACTCCCACCTTAACTCTAATTCCTAGCTATTTCAGACGGTCTGCGGAGGTGTGCAGGAGTGTAGGATTACTCATGAATCTCACTCCGTTGCTCTTATGGGGGACTACTTGGTGTCACCGTGTGTGTGATGGGGGGGACTCGTGCTGAAGATGTCGGCCCCAAAAGCCGCCAGGTCTCACTTTCCACACAGAAGCACGGGCAGTACTCCGGGCGCCGGGTGTGTGTGCGGGGGTGAGATTTTGACCAGTTCGGTGCCAAGCCAGCCGCTCGCTTTTAAATTTACACGCACCTACTAATTAGCCTGATTTACCCTGCGTAGTGAAGGAGCTTGTTCCATTTCTGCTCGCCGTTCATCCCGAGTCACATCCAAGAGCCTCCTGCAGTCTGTCTCTCAGGCACAAGCGGTTTAACAGACAATCAATCAGGGCTGGGCGTGAAGTGCGACCGAACTGGGAAATAGATTCTGTGCTGTAAAAAGAGAGTAGGAAAGACACTCAAGTAAAGGCCTGCTGCTCAGAGGCCTGTGTATAATTTATTGTGCTGCAGAGATGCATGGCCATTCACACGGAAGAACTTCTGACAGCTTCATAAGTATGTTTCTAGAAGAGTAGAAACATGCTTTCTAAACGTATACATGCTGAATCTTTTCCACATGCCAACCTGTACAAGTATGTCGTGAGGTGACTTTATTGACACATTGATTTGGGTTCTCCTTGCTTTCTAGACAGCAGACTCTCAGTATGAAAGACATCTGGCATTTCAAAGAAGGGGATTCCATTGCTTTCTTATCAGAAAATTTCCTCAATCTACTTTCGGATGTCAAATCAGATTGTATGATTATCAACGTATTTTGAAAATTTCTCCAGCAAACCGTTGAAGACGAAACGTTTCCTGAATATTAAGTATACAGCAAAAAAATCCCCTAAATGAAACTGCTGATGCAAATGAATTCTTTGCATTTTCTTCTGCAGTGAGAATGGCTAATGAGTAATTAACTAATTATGTAAGGTCAAGTAATCCATTAATTGTATTAAAATCCAATTTAACAGTTTAAAGCTGTTGTGATGGGGACTAATCTCTGCGGGTTAATCTGTTTTTATTTGAGCACATCACACCACATTATTACTTCCAACTGTGTTTTTGACACCGTTTGATCGTGACTAAGCCTTACCTTACAAAGTCAGCGGACAGCCAGCTGGTGTGTATTCTCACTGACAGCAGGTGGCTGCAGAGCTGCAGGCGGAAGCAGAAAACTTGGACGGATAACTGGAGCCGTCAGTTATCAGGTCATTCTCCTTTGTTGTTATTTAGTACGTCTCCAAATATATATTAAATGGAAACCTAGTAACTTCAGGGCCTGCTTACTGGTCTTGAGGTGTACTGAGCCCACTTCCTTTGAGAAGTTTAATGCAGCTTTGTGAGTCTCAGAAGGGTGCCATGAAAAATGTGCACCAGGTAATGTCAGCTCATTTAAACTGTGTTAGCACCATTATGAGCTGAATGTGAAAAACTGCTGAGCTAGAGGAGGGGGGTGATCATATAAAATAGAATGATGTGAAATAGGTACATTTTATAAGAAATGAATGTATAAAACTCCACAGAGGTGAAACTGTCCTTTTTCTAGAGCAGGCAGTAACAAAGTTTAGCTCAGTTTTCTTTGACTAACTTTTTGTTTTCTATTACTAAAACGTATCAAATGCTCCTTCGAGCACTGCCTCGTCTTTTTTAGCGATTCACTGCGAAAATGGACCACTAACTGTTCGGGAAGAAGAACAATGAAGCGATGACATAGCAGAACCTCTTTCCCAGCAGGACAGTGTAGACTCGTTTACATGTTTTGGTCACATGCCAGAAAAAGTGGAGGTTGCGAACCCAAATGGAGGGGTCAGCCAGCAGATGCTCTCTGTGGTTATTAAGAAAAAAATTACTTGTTAATAACTTTTCACCCAACTGCTTAGATAAGAATGTAGAATGATTCCGCCTGAGTGTGCAAGTGGAGTGTTCCTTTAAGAAACATGAGCTTATCAAACCCGTCCAAAACAAAGCAAAGACGAGGCATGTTCTTTGCCCTCCAGTCCTGGACTCGACACAAGTAGAACTTGGACATCATCCAAGAACAGCAAATCTGAACCCAGTTAGAATCTCCTTCCATTATTGTCTAATTGAGGAGTCTGCTTGTCACTGAGCTCTCTGCTGATCCTGTGTGAATGAGATTAGGCTACATGGTGATACTCGAAGGAGCCAAGAAAGCACTGGCTTGACTGACCACAAGCTGGCAGAAAAACTGAACTACAACATGCACTGCCAAGAGAGACACGCTGGACTTTTGGGAACGATCGCAGATCAGCAAGCTTTTAAGCTCCGAGGAGACAAGGAAGATGTTCTTTTATGAATGTTTTCTAGGAACCTAATGGCAACATCAGCACATTCAGATGTGGTGGAAACTAGCCTCTTTGTGTGGAGTCTTTTGGTTTCTCATCAGTCCCTTTCAGAACATTTGTGGTCCATTCAAAGAAAGGAATGTGCTGGCAGAGGGCGGCTTGACTCTGCCATGGAGAGAGAAAAGCCAATTAATCATCCAGCCAACAATGGGCGATCAGTACATGCTTCTTAGCTTTGATTTTGCAACACAGGAGTTAATTTAAAATGCAGGTCGGAAACAGTTGAATCAAAGTTGGGTTTATTTGAAATATTGAGCTCATTAATCACTTCACTTTGATAATGCCATGTCTTTGAATACACACCTCCATCTACGTATTAGGCAAAAAGCTTCTCATGACAAAGCGGAGAAGAATTCACCTGCGTGTGCGGCCACGTTGATGCTTGCTCATCCCCCTCTCTCCCTCAGTGTCTCACTTGGAAACGGTTAATTTGGCTAAGTTGCTTTGAAATGCCATATATGTCTTCATTTTGCCCGCTGCCAAAAACAAATGTTTTGGGACTGCAGTTGCCAGGAGTTTTGCTGTTGCTTGCAGCTCTTCAAATTAGCACAGGAGCAGATCCAGATGTAGCCGGAGCATGGCGTGCTGCGTTTGTGTGTTTTATAAGTGAACATGAGATGGAGCTGCGAGCATATGCATCTTTTTTCTATTTCTTATTTAAAGGGACATAAGCATGGGGGCTTGTCCTCCTGTGGTTTCCTGTT